TCGTAAGCACTTGATTTCGATGTTTCTCTATAGAAGAGAAAAAATAGCAACAACCTCAAATGCTAGTGAAAACGTACTCGAATGGATATGTTTAATGAACGAAGCGTGGAAAAACGTTTCATCAACATGCATTACCAATTGCTTCCGTCAGGGTGGATTGGACATACTCGTATCTTTAGAGGGACGAAGAATGTGAAGAATTTTAAACTGAACCGCCACCCTCCAACATTCTCAATGGCTTCTCAGTGCGCAGAAAAACTTCAAACATTTTCGAAGCCAGGGGTGTAAATGAACGATGTTTTTCGAGTCATGAATTTTCTGCGAAGAACAAATAGTAACACAAGAAGGAGACAATAAGACAGGTCAAAGCAAATTAGTCACCTTCTTTTGTACTGCACAGATATAAAAAATAAATAATGAATATATAATATAGTAAGCATGTGTGATTTTTTTTCACAAACCCGATTTCTACGACACTCGGTTAATAACGAGCAAATATCGCGGTTATACCCTGGTTATAATATATATATATATAACTTGGTTATAATAGAGTTTGACTGAATTTCATTTTATGAGAATTGCTTACAAAATAAGGAGAAGCATATTTTAATAAGGAGATAGCATGTTGATTAATAATAAGGAGAAGCATGTTTTAATTGCATATAAAAAATTATAATTTCAAGCTAAGACAAGATGTTTCTTCCAAACCTATGCGATAAGGAAAAATGTTTAAAATACTATATACGGAATCGTTCAGGCCTTCTTAAATCTTTCTCAATCGCGACCCCTGGACCCCATAATTTACGAAAATTTTGTGGGATTCCATAAGCAGTGCGCAAATCCGACACACGCATTAAGTGAGACCGTCAATGTTTTCACTTGTACTGTAATATACTTGTGCAGTTTTAGGTCATTAACTTTAATTTCTAGTTTGAAGACATAGAACAATGCGAAAATTTTAAATAAGTAACAGGCGGAATGACAGCGTCACGTGCAAAGCAAGTAAAATGAACGTTTATATTATAAAAAGAAGCGTGTTTTTTTTTTTTTTTTTTTTTTTTTTTATCTGTATTGTCTTATCTTTATCTATTTTCAGATACATTATGTAAAAATATTTGGTAATTATAAAATTATTATAAAAAGTTAAAGAAATATCAAAACTGCTAAAATTTTTGTCGACCCACAGTTTAAGAAACTGTGGTTCATGCTATACGATCCCTTGTTTTTTTAATTTGTAGAGTCTTCTTGCTTACCTTCTAAGTGACAACCGTACTACACAAGAGAAGGGTTAAAGGTATCCTTTGTTAAACTCTTTAAAAATTTACAATGCGTCAACTCGAAGCTAATATACTACGCCTCCCTTGGGCGGTAACTGAAATCACAGAACTAAACTAAAAATTCCAAGATGTTCACAAGTAGTAGAAATTAAGCTGCAGGGCTCAGATATTCCTGTTTCTTAAACCCGCGACAAAATAGTAGCAGCAAAGTAAAATGCTGTTATGCCACTTAAATCAGCAATAACTTCGGGAGTAGAAGCTCACGCAACAGAGGTGACGGCAATAGCCTAACTCTCTCTAACTTTCCTTCTAAAACCCGGTATTTAAACTCTTTCTTCCACAAGATAGAGTTTGCATTCTTTCACTCGTGCTACCAAATTTAAATATTCTGGCATTGACAATTAGGCGAATGAAGGCTTATAGGAAAGCTTAAATTTAAATAAAATTAGTTATTTAAAACAAATATAAATCCCTGCAAATTAATGTTTAATTTTAGACCATGCTGTTTCTAAAACAATTTTTATTTCGTCATTTTTTGCCTAATTCACTGTTGCTACTATTTCTGGAGTTAGAGAAAACCGAGTCTCTGAACGAGAACAGTTTTCGTTCTTAAGAATATTCGTATGTTCTATGCTGATGCTCATCCGATCTATATCCTATTTATGTACGAATCCTAAATATATAAAAAAAAATATTTCAGTTAATCAAAATGTTATCCTCCTTATGCGCCGTTATTAAGTATAGAAAAATCTCTCGTAATTTGCATGCAGTTAACTGGTTATATGACACTAATGTCAGTTTTGAAAATTTAAATTTAAATCCGAAGTTTAGACTTATAAAATATAACGAGCTAATAATCTCAAGACTTAAATTACGAAAACATTTTATTATGCTCCTACCACCCAACATAAGACTACTTATCCAGCCAATAGTGTAAGCTCGGAGAATTTACCAGCCAATGAATAGAGAAAGATTAACTACCGTTCTCTTTTTATTGCATCGATGTGTAAATTTTGAAGGTACAGCGGTTAGCGTCGCTACCAAAACTCTCTAACATTCAAGAACTCTGTTCTTAAATACACGAAACTCTTTTGCATCATGGCAACGGCAAGCAAAAGTAGAAATGATAGTAGATTAAACTATTATTTCTAGACGAGAAAATTTGAGCAGCTGGAGGAGATTCACAATCTCCAAGTCGATCCCTCTAGGGAAAAAGAAATATTTATGAGCTATAGGATTAAAAAGATAATGGGTTAATTAACATAAAGCATATACCTATTATATACCTAATAAAAGCATATACCTAATAATAAGAACATTGAACTGAAACTTGAACTGGGTATGTTTGAAGTTGTAGAGACATTAGGTAATTTGGAAGCAGGAGAGATGAAAAAATGGGGATCGAACGCCGGGAATCGAACCGCGGACCTCTGGAATACGCGACCAGTGTGCAGACCACAACACCATGAAGGCATGTCAAGAATGCGGGAGAAATGCTTTATAAGATATCTTATATAAAAACCAGATTATTTGTTAAATATCAGCTTCATAATACCTTATACGTTCATTCTAGCAGAAAAGGTATATATAACGGAAACAGCCTATTTTTGTAACTTGATTGGGAACAGTGCAATCTAAAGCTTCAATAAATTTTCTAAAGCTTCAATAAATATTTTTTATTGGGAACAGTGCAATAAAATAAAGTTCAATAAAAGTTCAATAAAATCTTCCTTCCCCAACCAGTTTCTATGAATGTCAGTATAAAATCATTCCCACAACAGAAAAGTAAATTTGTTGCACCTAAAACTGAAATCTTAGATAAAATATAACACAGAAATTTATGAAAAGGGGAAGAAAATACAGTAACTTATGAAGTATAGTTTAAATTAAGTTTGTAAATCTGTTCTGAAATTCTACCTTCAATCAAGGTATTATTTTATCTTACCTTCTATATCTTATATTAGATAAAAATGACAATAAAATTATACAGCAGATCTCCGCGTCTATTTGTTAAACAATGACTAACCAAGTTAAACTCATTGCAAGAAAACTACGAAATAAACGCTTACTTTGTTAAATATCTTTTTGTCTCGTAATTTTCAACTACGCCTTTGCTGTGAGCCCTTTTATTACAATTTTAGCCATCCAGTATAAGGTTGGAAGAATTTCCTCTGAGATTATAAAATTCTCTTTATCAAGAGGTTATTCCCTATTGGTATTTCTGGCTTATACCCATGGGGCTGTACAAGTATAATCGTAATTGTTAAGAAGTAAAAAATGTGGCATGTGCATTACAGATAAATGAAACGGACGTTGAGTATCTTCCATCTCTCGTAAAAAAATATCAGAGTATTTTAATGACAGGATCGTACTAATAAATAGATATAATTATAAAGCAAAAGAATATGGCTTTGCTTTTAATTATCCTGAAGTTAGTTACAAAAACAAATTGCGATTGCAAATTATTTTTATTTACGGATACATCAATTTGTAAGAAACGGATATTCTTCTTCTCCATTTCATCTAAATTGTGTAGGTTATTTTATAATTCTTCTAATTTCTGTAGGTAACCCTGTACAGACATTAGGTATTTTTTTTGGAAGCAGGAGATGTGGAAAATGAGCAACGCCTTCCGCGGAAATCGAACCACGGACCTCTGGAATACGTGCCCAGCATGCAGACCACTACACCACGAAGGCACGCTAATAAAGCAGGAGAAATAAATATATACTCTACATTTTGAAGGGCGACTGGGGTTTTAGCGGATCCATTCGCCAAATCCTGGTGGTGAAGAATCATCATTTATCACCTTTCATTTCGGGGCGCTGCTGTAGAGTCATTAGGTTTTTTTTGGAAGCAGGAAAGATGAAAAATGAGCAACGCCTTCGTCGGGAATCGAATCGCGGATCTCTGGAATACGCGAACAGCGTGCAGACCACCGCACCACTAAGGCATGCCAAGAAGGCGGGAGAAATACCTTATAACCCTTCTTCTTAGTTGCAAATCGCAACACTTATTTTACAATTAGATTTCCTGCAAAATTTAAAAGCTTTGATTTGCTTTAAATGGAAAACAGAGACGTTTAATATTTTCATAAGTGCTACCCCAATAATTATTTTATTTATGGAAATGCAATAAAACAGTTAAACAATACAAGGGTTACACACTATTAATTAAATATATATGCATTTATGAATCACTATTACACTACTTTAGAGAGCACGACATTGAGACGATAGGTTACTTACAGATGGCATACCTTGCCTCCGATGTGTAATTTGCAAAAATTTTCAAGATAAAGCTGAAGATTACAAAGACTACACAATTTATCTTTAATTATTTCCTTTAATGTTCATCATATCTACCTACTACTAAATTTTTCCTAGTCACACCATTGAAGTGAAAATTAGGCTCATGGCGACGTTTCTTATTACAAAACAGGCCTTGTAAAAAGTGTAAAGTATTGAATTATTGAAAATTCTTATATTTGCTTTCAAAACTAACTTCATAAACAGCAACATTTTATAGATTTAGTAGAATTAACACAGTGATGAAATCACGTAGAAGTTAGAGACGTTGATGAAAAGAAAATTTCTAAGACATTTTTTTTTAAAGAGTTTCATTCAAAGTTTTTTTTGCATTCATTATTTTTTATACGCTATTCAAGGTATTCAACGTTTTAGTTTATTATTAAAAATTTACGTGAATAAAACTAATACATACCCATTGACTGTCTTCCATTCGGATTAGGAACAGTTAGTTTTTCCCGAAAGCAAAGAGAGACTGAAATACTACGCCGTTGATGAAGCTCAGAGTTAGTTCCTTATTAGATTATCTTTTAGGGGCTTCTCTAGAAAGGGTAAAAAAAATTAGAAAGGCTCGCGATCGCAAAAAGAAATAAATCTGCATCATAATTTCATTTATTTTTTACAGCACCTTAAATGTCAAATGTAAAACGAAAGCTTCCAATTTCTTTTTTTAGTTAGAAACAAAAAAATCCTTTTTTTATTTTAAAATCCTTAATTTTATTTTAATTAATTACATTTCCGTTACAATAATATAGCAAAAAAATTTAATTTCACTTTTTTTAAATACGTGTTTGAGCTGGTGAAGCTAATAGCAAACTTCGGCTAATTTCTACTTTAAGATGAGATTAGACTTCTAAGGAGTTATCACGATCCCTCGTCTGTGCTCTTGTGGTGTAAGGATACACACATGTAGTTAGTAAATCGAAGTTAGTAAAGTCAATCGAAGTTAGAAGTCACATGTAGTTTGTAAGTCGAAGATCGCTAGCTTAACACGCTGAGCGAGGCCCCGAATTTGCTGTCCTTTCCGTTCAGCTGGCAGCGAGCTAAGCCGTATTTTTGTTTAGAATGTTTCAATACATTTCATTAAAACTAAATTTGATCACATTTCATTGATACTATATTTATTTTTTAACTTTAATACTGTCGGTCCTGCGGACCGACGCCAGCCGAACGAAAATTCCAGTGCCGGTCCCCAGGGACCGACGCTGGCCACATGGAAAGTTCACTGCTGGTTCCCAGGGGCCGGCGCCGCGCTCAACGTGTTAAATCCTAGAGAAGGCAGACTTGAGTTTTCAAGTTTCCAAATGCGAAGCGTCTAACAATTTCTACAGATAGAACTTTCGTTCGAATATGGCTGTGATCTGACTGTATAAATGAACACTAGCCTTTTCACTTTGTAGAGAGATATATTCCTGTTATGAGCCATGATGAAGAGCTCACTCTACTTAGAAAACCTCTAACTGAGTAAAGTGTAACTGAGTGAGGGTGGCTTCGACTGCAGCTGAGATCTGTGAGTAGAATTCTCTTAAGGTGGAAGCCAACTTATAACTTAATGCCACAAATTATGGGAAGAAGAAGGAACTTAGCAACAATTGGTTTGTTGCTAACTTTGCCAGGACTGCTATTCCTTCTAATTGTCTTGAGAAACATCTAGTAATCCTGAATGGGAACAGGGAGCTTACTCAAGCTATGTTCGTGTGTGCCGTGGAAGAGACAACACAAATGAGATGGGTTAACTTTACCCTTTTTTCTCACAACGTACAGGCGCTCCCGCACTTAGGGATAAAGAGACCAACAGGTCTAAAACGTAGAAAATAAGAAATACAGTATCTTTACTAAGTAAGAACTAAACTTAAATGCTTTACAGAGAATATTAACGCGAAGATTGGCCTTTTGACACTACTACTTCAGCAGGAACTACGTTCTGGCCTTAAAGGCAGACATGAACTGACTGAAAAGCACGCGCGAGGCAGGGCAGCTTGAAGGCTATTCTCCTCTCTCGGCTAGAAGCCATTTCTTAAATTCCTAAACAGTTTACAACCCCATTAGACAATTCCTACTCGCGCTTATTCTGGCCGGAAGTGGAAAATAAGAGACGATAGCAAAGTTTTAAAATAAAATAAACGTTAGTAAAACTTAAAATCCTTATAACTTGACGGCATTCTGAAAGTTTCCGATTAACGCATTTTTGAGCCCCAGGAGTGATTTTTTCTAGAAGCTTCCAAAAGTGATGGGAAGACATATAAACATAGCTATGGAACAATAAATTAGTTAATTCAGAGTTTCAGCTCAGATTCAGGTTTTAGACTTGTATTGAGGTTTGCAATGTGAGTTATTTTGGTGATATGAGATATTTTTGCAGGTAAAAATTGTTGTTCTCCTTCAGATAATTATAGCTGTCAACCTTGTTGTATGATGAATGATTTCTTCTATAAATACCAGTTTTTTCCTTTTCATCTGACGCAGTTATTAAGGGTAACGAGGCGAACCCGTAGTTCACGATCATTTCCAGACGAATTCCATGTAGCAAAAATGTTTAGTTTTTTTAAGACCTTCACAATAAAGTTCAATAAAGCATGCTTGCAAAATTAGGTTTTGCCTTTTCCCCCAAATTTATATAGAAGTTATGGTTTTTTGAGAAGCTTAATCTGGGAATAGCTTCACATTCTCTTCACTCGTAGTTGCGGTTAGCAGGAATCTGCTTTTAATTGTTATATATATATGTATATACATTTAAATAACCTGTTGACAGGAAGCTTGCTTAAGCAATTATATCAAAGCTGCAATAACCTAAGAGAATCCCGTTCCATATGGAGAAAATCGAAATCGTGAAAGCATCCAAGCAGTCGGTCCGTTCTCCTTGACAGGAACCAAGGTCGAACCTCTAGTGTTCAGCGATCCTATCCACTCGGCCACTGGAGGTCCCTAGAATAATTGAAGTTTTAATGTATACGTACATAATGTGCTAGTAAACTGCTTTAGCAAAACAAGGCAAGTGATCAAAACGAGTGATATTCGCAAAGGAGCCACCCACAAAGTGTTAGTAAAGCATAAGGTTGAACTTTCATCAGCGAAAAAAATAATCATAAATGGCAGAATCCTATTCATATCAGAGAACGACTCAAAGTGGATGCTTAAAATGGCTCAAAGCTACTCAAAGTATTGAGGATAAGGTACGCTTTTAAAGAACAACTTTTGTTTTGGCTGGGTTTCTAATGAACCTTGTTGAACCAGTCAGCTGTCCCGGTCGGTGCTGTTTTCTTTCATTGGATATTAATATAGGGCAAATGATAGACTGTGCAGACATTCTGGATTCGTGAAAAGTGATAACTTATACTTGTTGCACATTTCCTTCGCGATAACTTTTACTCCTTTAGTATTATTTTATTGTTTATACTTGGTATAATTTTTTTACTCTGGAACTGCAGTATCGAATGTGCTTCATAACATTAGCTGGTTGAACTTTCCTCTTCTGTGCATATATATATATATAATTTAAAGTAAAGTAGTAAAAACATACATACATAGTGGAAACAAATATAATTTTATAACCTAGGAATAAATATAGTTCATTATATATATATCTGTGTGTGTATGTGTGTGCAGAATGAGTTGAATTAACCTAGGCAAAAAACAGGTTGACTACATATTCATTTCCTTTGTTTGCTTCACGTGGAAAGATTGCAAAACTGTGTTCCATTCATAACGTTAATATGAGCCAGTTTCCGGTTTCTAACCCCTTCGTGGAGAATTTAATCCTTCTCGAAGGCATCTTTCACGTTAAGAAGATAACATACTAAACATTGCCATAGTAGGGAAAAAATCCTTCTTTCTGCTTTAATTATCCTTATAACAATGAACAACAATAATAAGTTTTACTATAACAATATCGCCCCCCCCCTCCCCCCCCCGAGAAAATGTGCTTCTCATGGTGGACCGCCTTTCTCTAGCGCTTATTTAAAGCTCCTCTCATTTATATATATTATCATCAGAGTTAAATTAAACACTGAGCAAAGTAAGCACGTGCTTAGGGCACCAAAAGGAGCAGGTACCACAAATGATCCTTAGGGCTCAAGCAAAATGGGCATCACAAGAATTTTTACTTCCGGTTTTGCCATGGAATGTATGCAGAAGTTAGACCTAAATCGAGTGAGAGAGAAAAAGGAGGGACTGACATAAATGCAGATGGGAGCACCAAAATCTTTAAATGAATAGAGCCTTTAAAAGTCTTAACCCAACACAGGTTAAGCCTAAGGTCTGCAGCTAATAACCACCATCTGAGATTTGACTTCTAGTATTTCTGAGATGAAACTCGAGACTTTTATCATTCGCATGGAAGGAATATTAATTCGAAATGTTTATATGTACCTCTTTTCCCTTGCTCCAGTCACATGGAAGGACTTTCAAACGATAGATTTTATATACTGCTGCTTTGCATAAACATTGTAGAGTAATTAGGGTATTAACTAACTTAGGGTAACTCTAACCTGGACTTCTGAAATACGCTCCGAGTGTGCTAACGCTACAACCACGAAGGTTAGAATGGAGGGAGATAATATTTTATATACTCCCCCTTTATAAAGGGCAACTGTGGATTAGGGGACTTAAGCGCCAAATCCTGGCGGTGAAGAATCACCATCCACGACCTTTTTGTTCGGATGAAACTATAAAGTACTTCGGATTTTTGATGCGTGAAAAAATGATGATGTGAAAAATATGCAATGCCCTTACCAAGACTCCAACCTGGGTCTCTCGAATACGAGCCGAGTGTGCTACTTTTACCCCAAGAAGGCATGCAGAAGGAAGAGAGAAAATACTTTATATACTCCCCCTTTATAAAGGGTGACTGGGGATTAGGGAACCCAATCGCCAAATCCGGGCTGCGAAGAATCATCATTCACCACCTTTTTAGTTCAAAATAATCATTAGATTATTTTGAAGCATGAGACATGAAAAATGAGCAATGCCCTCACCGGGACTCGAACCTCGACTTCTCGAATACCAAGAAGGCATGCAGAAAGGAGATAGAAAATATCTTACAACAGGATGCTCAAAAACATCCAAACCGAACACGAAATTGGATCTTACACATTCGATATTTACTAATTGCTTTAACTAAACACCATAACAAGTGTAGGATATATTACGAAAAGAGTCAGCGATCTAATTACTGAATATGCTACTTCGAAATTGGCTTGAATAGTACGCTATTGTCCAGAATATTCTCATAGACATTCAACACAGCTTAAAATACTTTAATTGTTCAGCCGTATTTCCAGCAGCTAAAATAAACTCTAAATATTAAATCGTTTATTAAACCTGTAAATTGCAAGAGAAAAATTTATTAAATCTAAATGTTAACAACATTAAAAGAGACATAAGTGTTATCTAATTAAGAAAATGTTTTCATTCTTTTCTCTTAAGACACTTAGAATCTCGTTCACACTTTTTCTTAAAATTCCACAAAATCGAGTTATCTAAATTATAGTTGATAGTAAAAAGAAAGTTCACATCTTATAGAATAAAGCTTTACAATTATATAGTTATATTTAACTACGTATCTAAAGACATTTCAATATTTAGATATGTTAAGCATAAAAATAATCATTCGATCCATTGTTAGCAAAATGATAAGCTATTCATTTATTATGGACATGTGATACCATTGAGTAGCAAGAAAAGGTAATCTCGAGCAGTGCATCAGATGGATCAGCGAATGTTTTCAAGATATCACGGTGAGATCATTTTTTTTACACTAATGAATATTACTTGTTTCACGTGAAGTAAGAAAAAAGGATATCAAAAGTATCTCTCCCAATTTACTTTTTAGAAAAGATGTAGAATTCTTTCCTAACAGTATTAAAGTTTCAATACAGCCTTAAAAATGCTTAGAACTATATGAATGTAACATGATTTGAAATATATAGGGCATTTGAGGCTCATTTTGAGAATACACTTCTTCAGTTTTACTATTGGCTTTTGGAACATATTACTAGGATTCTAGGAAGATGATCCTTTTGAATTGAGACTGACATAACTGTGCCAATCTTGAATGCTATCTTCTTTTGATAAGTGATAGAAATTACATATAAATTAAATACGTTTTAGGTGTTTTTCTATTGCGTTAAAAGTAAGGTACACTGTGGGGGAAAAAAGAGGGGGGGCATTTCCTATATCTCCCGTTCTACTGGGCCGATTGACGAAATTCAACTTGCATTTTTCATTTCTCGAAAGCGCGACTTAGGATATGTATTCGATTTATATATAGGATTATTCTAATATAGGTATTTTGACACAAAATAGGACTTTTTCTGAAATAACATACCAATTTTATTCCATACTTCTATTCTACGACTCAAATTCTACCAAACTGCCAAGTTTTGTAAAAATCGCACGAGTACTTTTGTAAAAATTAGCTTTCAAAAGTTTAGCTCCTCAATTTTTATTAAGCTCCTGAATTTGATATATATTTATTGATATCTCATTTTTATTAAACTTATTTGATTTTTGCTTTCATATTTCGAAATTTAGGTTTATTCCGAATAAAATTCGCCTATTTTTCATGATTTATTTTAAAATTTGTACTTTTAAATAATTTTTATAAATTTTTCGGAAAACAATTTAAATTATAATTTATAAAAGTTTTGCCATCATCTTAAAGTAAAATGTATTTCTAACTATACCTGCAAAAGATTACAGTTTTTTATTCAATATTTTCTAAGATATACGTAATTTACATTTCGGCGCGTTTTGAAATTTGGCGTATTTACTATAAGCGATAATAACGAAAATGTGGTTTACGCACTTTGTTATAATTTATTTGAAAGTATGAACAATGATTTTTTTCCCGTTCGTGGACAGTGAAGAAAAAGGAAAGGAAAATAGATTGCTATAAATTAAGAAGTCCGCCAAGTGAATTATTCTTGGTGCAAACTGAAAAAATTCGCCAAGATATATTTTTAAATTTCTCCATAAATTTCTCACCAAAAATGGCAAAATTTAATATCTAGGCATAAGTTGTGACGTAGAATCGAAATATGGAAAAAAATGCAATGTTATTTCCGAAAAAGTTCGATCTTGTTAGAACAAAATTATATACAAAATCTAATATATATCCCAAGTCGCGTTTTCGAGACATGAAAAACGCAATTTGAATTTCGTTAATTAGCCTAGTAGAACGAGAGACATTGAATTGTCCCCCCTTTTTTTCACCGTAGCGTACATTTTCAAATTGAAAACATTAACTAAGTTAATAATGAGGAAAATAATTTTTTGTGATTTTAAGCAAATGAAGAAATTTAACATAAAAATGTGCACGAATAAATGTGAGATTTATTGCTTACTGTGTTTCCTTGAAGCTCAATCCTATTTAATTAAAAGACTGTTACTTCTGCTAACATATCCGGTGCAAATTGCAGTGCTACGCTTGGAAGTTGGATTGTTTAATTTAAAGAATAGTTCTCGATCTCGTAGCCTGCCTTTCTACACTTCAGACAAAACCAAACGAGAAGCTACATCATTTACGAGGTTTACTATGGAGGAAAATTTTAGCAGCTGCTAAGATTTTCAAATTTAGTCGCGACTTAATGTAACCAATAGTTTTGCTTTCGAATAATGGAAGTTTCGATTTTTGTCAAAGCAATGCTGTTTTCTTTTTACTTCTTTATGTATGACAACATATCAGCCTTCCCCACCCCAAGCGGTATAGTGTTTAATGACGCTGACTGCCATACGGGCCTCGGTTCGACTTCCGGAGAAGGCATTAATGTTTATAAGAGTATAGTGTCTATGCTGCTAAGGGGCTGTCAA